GCTGCTGAGGGTTCGATTCAGCGAGTGCCGCCTGGGCATCACCATCATGCAGGCGATCGCTGGCCTCGGCGGGTGGGCCTTCGGGGACGCGGTCCCCCCGCCTGTAGCCCACCAAGGCCCTCCCCCCCCCCTCCGGCGGGCGGCGGCGAGGCGGGCGGCGGGACGGGCAACGACGACTCTGACAACCTCGCTCCCCCTCCTGGTGTTCGTGGCTGTGTGCCGGTTGCTACTAAGGTCCGAACGGACGAATACACCTGGTGTCTGGTCCTGTTCGCCAACCCTCTACGACGCCTCGTGGCGTCCCCTTCCGCTTCGCGCTGGGGCCATTCTGCCCTGGGGGCGTAACTATAGGCTTCGCAGGCGCTCCGCGCCTGCGCTTCGAGCAGCCAGGGCAAAGGCACCGTGCTGGTTGTCCGGCATCAGGAAAAAGAAGAAAAAAGTGGAGGATGAGAAGGAGGAGGAAGAGGGAGGAGGAGGAGGAGGAGGAGAGGAGGCGGAGAAGGAGGAGGAGGAGGAGGGGGAATAGAAGGAGGAGGAGGAGGAGGGGGAGGAGGAGGGGGATGAGGGGAAGGAGGAGGAGGAGGAGGAGGGGAAACGGTGGAGAAGGAGAAGACGAGAAAAGAGAAGGAGAGGACGAGGCAGAGGAAGCGGAGGAGGAGGAGGAGGGAGGAAGAGGAAACGGAAGAGGAGGAGGAGGAGGAAGGAAGAGGAAAACGGAAAGAGGAGGAGGAGGAGGAGGAGGAGGACGAGGGAGGAAGAGGAGGAAGAGGAAGAGGAGGCGGAGGAGAAGGAGGGGGAGGAGAAGGAGGAGGAGGAGGAGGACGAGGAGGAGGAGGAGGAGGAGGAGGAGGACAGAAGGACGAGGCAAAGGAGGAGGAGGAGGAGGGGAGGAGACGGAGGCGGAGGCGGAGAAAGAGGGGAGGAGAAAGGAGGAGGAGGAAGAGGAGGAGAGGAAGAGGAGGAGGAGGGGGAGGAGAAGGAGGGGGAGGAGAAGGAGGAGGAGGAGGAGGAGGGCGGAGGCGGAGGCGGAGGCGGCGGCGGAGGCGGGAGGAGGAGGAGGAAGAGGGGAGGAGGAGGAGGAGGAGGAGGAGGAGGAGGAGGAGGAGGAGGAGGACGAGGAGGAGGAGGAGGGACGAGGAGGACGAGGAGGGGAGGAAGAGGAGGAGGACGAGAATAGGAGGAGGAGGAGGAGGAGGAGGAGGAGGACGAGGAGGAGAAGGAGGACGGGGATAAGGAGGGGGAGGAGGACGAGGAGGAGGAGGAGGAGGAGGAGGAGGAGGAAGAGGCGGAGGAGAAGGAGAAGGAGGAGACGGAAGAGAAGGGGAAGAGGAGGAGGACGAGGCAGAGGAGGCGGAGGAGGCGGAGGAAAAGGAGGAGGAGGAGGAGGAGGGCGTAGGACGAGGAGGACGAAGAGGAGGAGGAGGAGGAGGAGGAGGCGGAGGAGGAAGAAGAAGAGGAGGAGGAGCAGCAAATGAACTCCAACTCCACTGTGCCAAGCGATTCAACGAGTTTCCAGTCAAACCGGGTGCAATTCACGAGCCGACATGCGGTAGGCAAACTCATGAGGTGAACCGTGGCTTGAGGGAGAACGAGCGCGATAAAGGTATCGAATTACCCCCTCCCCCTGCGCCAGCCGCAGGCCACAAAATGTGTAAAACGATGCGCCACGCCTGTAAGGGTAGCAAGCGCACCGGAGTGGGCAAGGAAGGCAGGAGGAGGAAGATGAAGACTGGGCAGCGTACACGCGGTCGCCCAAATCGGCTTGCTCGCGCACTGAAAGGAAGGTGGAGAGACAGCGGCGGCCCAACAAGGGGCAGCGCTTCAAGGTCGTCGACGTTGGAGCCAGCGGGCGATGGACTATTTGATATATGCCCAATCCCGATCACGCCAGCAAACGGCAGAAGGAGGTGGAAGCGTCGGTTCCAGATTCCACAGTAGACACCAAACGTGTCAACCCGACACGCCAAAAACGTGCCGCGGCGGTAACTGTACGAAGCTGTCCGGTGGACGTGGGCGAAAGGAGGACCTGCCCGAAGCTGTCCTCCTGGCACCATCGCTCGAAGTCGAGCCATGCATCGTGCGCCGACTCGCCAAACCGCTCCAGCGGCGCGGCTGCTGTCTGGGCGGAAGCAACAAATCCAGAATTGGCGGTCAGAAGCTGTCCAGCGACTGCGGCCGAGCCACCACTCGGACAAGGAGGCAAAAGCAGTGGACGAGGAGGAGGAGGAGGAAGAGGAACGAGGGGGAGTAATAACAACGCGGCGAGCAGACGCCAACGTGCAAGAGGAGAAAGAGGGCGGCAGAGGCAGCAGCGAGCACGCGCGCACGTTGGGGGCGGGCGGGGGGCGGGGGGGACGAGTGGCGACGGTGGAAGTCGGGAGATCGTCGCGGGTCGTCGCGGGTCAGGGGGTCGCCGTGGTCGTCGGGGGGGCCGGCGGCCGTCTTGGGCCAGGGCCGCCACCGCAGCGGGGCTTCGGGCGGGGCGGGCGGGGTCGTCGGCAGGGGCGGGGGCGAGAGCTGGCAGGGGGCGGTTCACGCGGCATCCGCCGCGGCGGCTGCCGTGGCCGCGGCTAAGCGCCCGGCCGTCGCGCCCGCTCGCGGCTGGAGGCGCCGCAGCACTGCCCCGCATTTTCCCTGCGCAGGGAAACTGAAAGTCGCTGGGCAAGCTGAGCGGCCGCGAACGCGGCGCCGTCTCCGGTCGCGTCAACCGCGTGCGAGCACCGCGAGCGCGCGTCGCGCCTCGCGGCCCCAGCCGCCGCCGTGGCCCTCGCATGCCATCGGTGTGAACGTTAGGGCGGCCTCTGAGCATTTGTGCGCTGCGTCCAGGTGCAAGCGCTTCTGCTCCTCGTAGCGGGCCACCGCCGCGTCGACGCCGCCCTCCGCGGCCGAAGCCACGAGTAGGTCCGCGCGGAGGCCCGAGGTCACGGCGAAGTCCCACGCCGCCGGCGCGCCGCCTCGCCACCGCAGGACGAAGACGTCCGCGGGACGCCTCCTGTCGCCGTCCAGGTCGTCGCCGCCAGCCTCGCTGGCAGGGGGTCTCTCGCCGGGCGCGCGCGGCGGCAGCAGGCCCGGGCGCTCGAGTTTCGCCCCGGCGTAGCCGGCAGCCAGCGACTCGTGCCAGGCTTGGTTCCGGAGGCACTTGTGGCGCTTCGTGCGGTCTCCGCGGCAGCTGCAGGTGAGCGCGTGGTCTGCGAACGCGTCCATCACCTCCACGCGCGCCGGGCAAAAAGCCTCCTCTTCGAGAAGCTGGTGTCGAAGGCGGCGCTGCAACGCCACTTGCATCGAGCTGCGCGGGAAGTCGGCGGCGAGCGCCAGGCACGGCGGCGCCTGCAAGTAGGCGCCGGCGCCCGGGGCCGCCACCAAGTTGAGGTGGGCCCTCGTGGCCGGCGAAGCGCGTTGCCAGAGGTCGTCGCGGACGGCGTCGTCCACCTTTCTGGAGAGGACCCGCTGGTTTCCGTGCTGGGCGGGGTCGACAGTGATCCGGTCTGCTGGAAGGACTGTGTCGTTGAAAGCCTGCGTGGCCGCGGCCAGGCTGCCCCCGTCTCCGCCGTCGGTATCGTCGTGGGCTCCGTAGAGCTGTCGGCGGAGTTCCGCGCTGCGGGCGCGCGAAGCCAGGTAGGCGACCGCCGCGTCTTTCTCGGAGGGGCGGAGCCCGAACCCAACTCGGTTAAGCTCGAGCTGCGCTTCCAAGAGTCGCCAGAGGGGAACATCCGCTGAGCTGCTCCAGACAAGCCCGGTCGGCGGCGCCCATGGTCTGCAGCGCGCCAGTGTGCGCCGTCGGCGGGATCACGCGCGCGGAATAGCCCAGCTCGCAGTAGAAAGCGCACTGGCGGAGCAGGAGCAAGGCCACCTGGGCGTTCTCCAAGGCCCGGAAGGTTTCCAGCAGGTCAGCGGCCTGGGCCACTCTTTCCCCGGTGCGTTCCGCGCAGAAGCTGTCGTCCCCCACGGGGGCCCCCAGAAGTTCGAAGCTGTTGTCCTCCCTGAGGCGGAAGCCCGGCGGGAACGCGGTCAAGTCCACGCTGCTGTCAGCGCCGCTGGCGGGTACCACCTCGCACTTGCCGGGCCCGGTGCCGAGGTCCAGTCCAGTCGCGGCTAGGCGCCTCACCAGGTGGCGCGGGAGGCGGGCAACTGCGGGCGCATCCCCGGCCAGGCTGCCGTCGTCGAGGTAGAAGAACACCAAGTCCAGAAAGCCGTCGGCTGGGTCGGCGTGCTCAGAGCGCGCGTGCTCCACGCAGCGCTGCAGAACGAGCGCGAAGAGCAGCGAGGAGGAGAAGGAGGAGGACGAAGACGAGGCGGAGAAGGAAGAAGACGAGGAGGACGAGGAGGAGGAGGAGGAGGAGGAGGAGAAGGAAGAGGAGGAGGAGGAGGAGGAGGAGAATGAGGGGGAGGGCGGAGGAGGGGGAGGAGGAGGAGGAGGAGGAGGAGGAGGAGGAAGAGGAGGAGGAGGAGGAGGAGGAGGAGGAGACGGAGGAGGAGGAGGAAGAGGAGGAAAAAGAGGACGCAGAGGAAGAGGTGGAGTAGAAGGAGGAGGAGGAGAAGGAGGAGGAGAAGGAGGAGGAGAAGGAGGAGGGGGAGGAGGGAGAGAGGGACGAGTGGAGTCAGATTGTGTATGAGTTCGGGGTAAGAGGCTTCAGAACCGTCAGAGATATGTTCAGGCCGTGTTTGAATGTTATTCGACGATCCGTAACAACTATGGCTTAAGCCATTGGTTCGAAAGCTAACGCTGGAAAGCTAACTTTGGTAGCGTTAATGTGGTGGTAGGTCATTTGAGACTCGCCGTCTCTGCCCTCAGCTTCGCCGTTATGGTTCCGGTTCAGCGTCGATCGACGAGAACGTCTACATGTATCAGCAGCAGCAGAAGTACGCGAGCAACTTCCAGTGGCTCATTGTACGCGCGATTGCAGCTGCAAGTTCACCAATCCTCATCACCTTCAGCATCAACACTCATACTCGGGTTGCGTGGACGCACGCAGCCATGGACTATGGAGACACCTCAGGCA